ATTTTGCAGAAATTCTGCGAACTGTCGACAACGTGAGACAAAGGATGAAAAGATACCTTCGTCAAGATGGCAGACATTTTGAATATTTGTAATTATCCTCTCATTTCCGAGTGATATTAAATTTTTTTTTCAAGCAAAAGTTGTTTCTTTTTAAAAGCTTTACCCAACGACATCCATATCGCTCCACATTGCTAGTCAAAATTTGTAAGCTCCTTTTGGTATTTCTGGGAGTTTTCTAAAAGTGAAAGTACTATCATCAGAAACTTGAGATGGGCTTTTGTAATAAACAAGTTTTCCTAACTTTTTAGCACCATCCCTTTTCAGAATAAAAGGGAATTCAGAACAAATGAACGAGTGGTCTGAAACACTCTGTATAACGAATTTGTGAATATTTCAGAATGTTGCCATGGATTACTAGCGATATAATGTGATATTGTGATTTTTGTGTATTAGATATTACATATAATGTAAATTTATGGTTCACTAAAGTTACTTTTAATGGGAAAGAAATCGACCCGAACCTGACACCTTCCTTTCTATCGTCGCGAGCGTATTTGTCACGAGTGCATTTTTCGCGTACCGTCCCTCGAGTTATACAGAGTGTATAAAAAGTACCGAAACGGCGAAATATCCCGAAAACTAAGCATTTTAGAAAAAAATGTTTCAGACAAAAGTTGTTAAAATTAATTGGTAGAAAAAGATGATACAATAAAAAATTGTTTCTATTGAAGAAAAATAATGGTCAGTGAATATCTCGAAAGCGCCGTCTGTAAACAAACCAATATAAGTTGTTTTATGTCCCCCTTGAAACCCCCTTGAATACAACTTTTGTCTGAAACATTTTTGTTTATCAGGATCAGTTTTCGAGATATTTGGACCGATTATATGCAATGGGACACCCTGTACAGCGCAAAGATATCAGCGCAATATTTAAATTTTCTCAGAGTTGTTTTTCTTGATGCGGCGATTATGGCGTCGTTCTCCGTGAGCGTGCTTTCCACGCGCGTATTTGAAGGGTGAAATTAAAACGAGATAACTCGACCGCGTACGTAAAGGCAGAGCGGCATATAAAAAGGGTTCGCCGATGCGCGTCGTCGTCCTCGGTGAGCTGCATCGACTTTTGGAGACCGATGATTAAACGAGCGGAAGTTCTCTAGCGGAGTGGGCAATTTATTGCTGAGAGATGGCGACGGTGACGTTTGGACGACGCGGGAATTTGGCTTTTGAGGTAATGCCTTGTTCGCCCGCAACTTTGCGAGGAAATATAGGAACGGTCTGTAAAGCCAATACCGCCTTTAGCGTTTCAAGAAGTTGGGAAAGTTTAAAATACTTTTCTGTCGCGAAGATACGGTTGAGATCATTAAAAAAATCGAATTGAGAACGCGAAAAGCCGCGCGATGTGTGACGATGTTACATCTCTAAGTCGAAAAGATGTAACTGAAACATGTATTATTATTATTTTTTTTATATATATATTTGTACGTTTTTACAGCGAGAGAGAACACATGTGGGTTCGTGCAGTTCTCTTCGAAGCTATTTAAATCCCTTGTTATACTGTAACACAGCGTGTTGAAAAAAGACTTTGTCACCGATCTCGGGCGAACAAAGAAAAACTCGACGAAAATATCGATGTACAGCGCGTGCAAAAATGGAACGAGCAAGAGAGGAATTATTCTGCAGAGGTATTTGTCAGGTACCGATGACGGTTCACCTCGGTCACGGCGGAAGTTTATAAGTTATGCCGGGGAGAATCGGGACAATAAATCATTTTCCTATTGGAATAGTGCGGTTCGAACACCTTCTGTGCTGGAAAGCAATATCGATGTTCTTGACGAAATGCATAATTCATGTTTTGAAAGCGCGGTGCTGCGAACGCGGATACTACGGAGCGACAACTCCAGTCGATAAGCGTCCGTTTATTATCCAGAGTCGTCGCTCGCAATTATGTACAAAGCTGTTTGCGAATTCCGCGAATTTATAACGGGGAGCAATGCCCGCTGTGGATAAAGAAACTCTCTATCCTTACATAACATTTCACGATCGTGAAACCACATCATCGAAATGAAATGTGAAAAAATTACAATCACACGAGCTCATAATGATTACGAGGCTTTATTTTTTAAATAATAGAATTGTTCAAAATGCATCTCTCTCTCTCTCTCTCTCTCTCTCTCTCTCTCTCTCTCTCTCTTTCTCTTTCTTTCTCTCCTCTTTGTGACAGCCAAGCTTAGCGAATGGATCCCAGGAGTTTGGATTTTATCCTATGCAAACATTTTATGTTCTCCTGAGCCGTTGCTTGGGATTTTATAGCGCAATGTTTTTCGAACAACACGTTAACGTGCGTCATCGGGGCGATCGGTTATTATACGTAAAGCCGGCCGCAAGAATTTTAATATCGAGATGGATAGAAGCTGCATAATAAATAGCCGGCTGGTGTTGCTTCATATAGTAATCGCGCATGTGACTCTCACGTAACATAAAACAACGCTGCCGCCAAACAGGTTTTTGGGAAATCCTCGTTAAACGCCGTGGCGCATAACCGAAGCGTTAAAATCAGTAGACGCGGGCTAAAAACTGTGAAGTTTCAGTCATAATAAATATATTACATTCAAAATCATTATAAGTATATTGTAGGATCAAGTTAAAGTTTTTTGGTTTTTATTGATGTCTTCTCTGTTATCGTTATTCAAATATTGATAATTTCAAAATTCCAAAATTGCTGATGAAACATGTTCACCTTGAAATTATTCAATGAAGTTTTATCTCTAGCTTGAGTTACTTATATATTTTCAATTTGACATATTTAATTGCCATTTTTGTACATATAGCTTTAAGATTATCTGGACATATAATTCGTATGTTTTTTTTTTATTAAAGAATGTGAATTTCTTTCCCATAATTTTCTCGAGGTGTATAATAAATTGGGTACATTTGACCAGTGGACTAGTGGACCATTTGACTAGTGAAAAAATAAATATCATTCTACGTGGAAATATTACTTATCCATCAAAATTGAATACTTAAAGGTATCTATTCACCGGATATATCTGTTTCTATTTTTGTGACGCAGCGATTTACGGAGCATCTATTATGTATAACTTCTAATTGATATTTCTTTTAAACAACAAAATTGATGAAACTGTATTTAGATGGATAGAATTAAAAAAATGTAGTCAATAGTAAAAGTATGATGAAACCGAAACATAGTAGTATATTATGTAGACAGCTCAACCTTTTCCGAGAAATAAAAGACATGTCAAATTGAAAGTATCAGGCTGGCAAGAAAGTCATGTCGTTTTTCTTTTCTATGTAAATGAAAAGCGATTTTTTTATATAAAGCAAAAACTTTATTCTGCAATATATTGTCCGTTTAATTCAATGACCTTTTGCCATCTGTTAGGTAATTTCATGATTCCAGCCTCATAGAACTTTTGATCCTTATCGGCAAAAAACTGATTCAAGTACCGTTTGATAGCCTCATCAGAATCGAATTTTTTCCCTTCAAGGAATTTAGTAAGGAACGAAATGAATGGTAATCTGATGGTGCAAGATCAGGCGAATATGATGGGTATGGTAACACATCCCACCTAAGCTACAACAATTTCTAGAGGATGACTCTTGGGAAGAATAAAACAATACATTAGCTAATTCAAGAAAAATTGTTGATAAAAGAGATTTATTAAAATATATGTCCCAATGACAAAACTCAAACAAAGAAACTGAAACAAAACGATGTGATCTACGCAGCGATTAGGACGGAGGCAAAGGCACAACAATAACGACGACAGGATTACCTCCACCGGAGGAAAACCGAAAAAACTTAAGAACTTAAAGAAGCGCGAAAATAATCTGACTTAAACAAATATATTCAACAGTGACCAACGATGTGGTCTAGCGTTATCATGATAAAAGACAACACCTTTACGATTCACCAGTTCAGTTTCAAGCTCTGCTTCTGCTTGATTGCTTCGTGTAATTTGTCAAATTAACGATAATACAGTTCCAAATAAATCGTTTGATTACGTTTAAATAGTTCAAAAAATACAATATCTTTGTAATCCCATCAAACAGATAGCAAAATCTTCCTTTGATGAATGTCTACTTTAGAAGTGTTTTGTGACGGTTCATCATATTTACGATCTTTCTCCTTCCACATTGTCGTAAACAATTCGTTCACATTTCACAAGAGAATCGCTGATATTGATGCGTTTAGTGAGATGAATTTCTTTGAGCTCGTGTGGTACCTAAATATCGAGTTTGTTGACATATTCAAGTTGTTTTAAATGGTTTTCAATGTCCGTATGTGATACATTTAGCTTCTCAGTGATCTCCCGTGTCATATAATGGCGGTTGGATCCAAGCAATGCTTTTATTTTGTCGTCATTGACCTCAATTGGCCGGCCGGACCGTGGCGCATCTTTCACAGAAAAATCTCCTGAATGAAAACGAGTAAATCAACGCTGACGTTCTCAAGAAGAATTCCTCACCATACACAGCACATAACTTTTGACGGGCTTACATAACATTCTTTCTTTTTTGGAAGCAAAGAAACAAAATATGGCGGAAATGCTCGTTTTGATTTTCTATTTTTAACTCAGTACCAAACAAACAATTCTTTTTGACCGAATGACGCACTTCTTTTTTTAAAGAAAGCTTGAAATGTCAGCTGTCAAATGATATAAAGGTTATAGGATTTGGAGTAAAGTTAGTTGCATTTAATGACAAGTAAAACCATCTATCCGTGAAAAACAACATGACTTTGTTGCCAACTTGATATATATTATAAATAACTAAACTTAAAGATAAAAGGCTTCATCGAATAATCTTAAGGCAAACACAAATGACGTTTCATCTCAGTAATTTTTAAATTTCAAATTTGTCGATGTTTGAGTAATGATAAGGGAGAAAATATCAATAAAAATATCATATCAGCTTAGAAACTTTAAAATTAATCTTTTTACATATATTTATTATAATTCTGAATTGAAAATTGTAATTTTAGTTTTAACCCGTGTCCAATGAGTTTAATATTTCGCCAAAATCCAAAATCACACGGTGAAACGGTTATTCGCTGCCGACTTCAATATTTTCTACTCGTAATATGAAGGAGGTTGTACATATTTTTCTGTCAGAGCATCACATTCATAACTGTTGATTTATTTACTTGCGTACAGCAATATCGGCCTGGTAAATCTCGATCATCGGAATTCTAATTGTTTGCTCCCAAAGAGCGTTAAAAATGTGTTTCTCCGAGACTTAATGGCCGTTTAATCAGATTCGGTGAAACGTTTCTAAATATAGCAAGAAAAGGTAACGGTGGATAAAAAGAGATCTCGATGGGTGATGTGCGCATCTTGACGGATTACCGTATCAAGCTCCATCGGTTGTTTGATCCTGTTGTCAATCTCGCAGAAATTCTCTCGCACGCAGATACTTTTCCCATCACGTAGGATTAGATGCGAAAATTGGTTCTCCCTTTTCGCCATTCGTACAAAGAATTATTATCGGTTCGCGTCGCAGAGACAGGGTAAATTCGCGAATAGAGAAAAATGTTCTCTGCCCGCGAGCAAGCAAGCAAAATAGAGAATCTATGATCGTGCACGGCAAACCCGAAAGGGCACTCGGGCTAGAGAGGGACTTTTGACATTTCCGATAAACGTTAGAGTGATAATTATTGCGTCGACGTTTATGATGCGCCGTGCGTGCGATACAGCGTACGTTTATAATGCATTTCTGAATTCAACATTTTCTCTATAATGGGTCTGTATAAAGCCGCAATTAACATTATATATATATACAACACCTCTCGTTGATAATTATATATAATTAATAAACTCAGGCGAAATAGCTTCCTGTCGCAATTAAAAGAATATATTTTCATTCGTAATATAATACAATATGCGATTACAGCGAAACTATAACGCGAGTCATCGATTAATTATTTCTGTTGTTTGTCTGGTTCGTACTTGAAGAACATCATTATGAAAAAGGACTTGGCATAGCAGAATCGTTTCAACTGGAGTCACGTACATTGAAACCTTGCCGTTGTCTCGCTCATGTTAGTGTTGGTTTACTTGACATTAGAAACAAAGATCATTGAAGCTTTCGCCGGGAGATTGACTTTCTTCAAGTCGACAGTTTGACTGAAAGACGTAGAAGCGAAAGATTAAATCTTCTCACACGACTACACGACGCCACTACACTACTTTTATATTACATTAAATAGACATTGCCGAGTATCGATTCGTTTATCGAATTTCACTGAGGCTTTTTTCGAAGTGTTTTGCTCATTAACATTTACATCGTGTACACGCGGTAGCAGCACTCCATGTTTCGACATATACTTATTTCTTATTATTCGATTTTAACTTATTAGTAGGTATCGAACAAAATATCAAACTTACTTTTGTTTTATCTTGGAATCCACGCTTGCTACCTTAACCACACCGTCTTCGAATCCCGTCAAGACTTCCGTCAGATCACCTTCCCATTGATTCTGATTTGAGAAATTTATCAGCAAGCTCACGGCCTCTTTATGCGTCTTTCGTAGGACGAGGAGAACAGTATTGTTTAAGACTTTGGTAGTCAACGATCCGGATTTCAGCGCGTCGGATGTATCTCGCAACTTCGTCAGAGCACGATAAACCCTATAGTGTGACTCATTGGCGTTCTTTTGAGCGTGCAAATTGATAGTGTGGTAATTTTCGTGGACCGGTAACCAAGTTTTATTGTTGGTGTTGCTGAAACCTGTAGAGTTAATAAGAGAGACATTAGATGAATCATGCAGTTTCTTTCGGTATTTAGCATTTTTCATATTCCAAGTAACACGAATAACATTGCAAGTAGACTGAATCGCGAATTTTCTCGGCAATTTCGTCATAACATTTGTAACTTTTCTCATATTATTTATAATTCGTTAATAATAATTTAATAAGGTAAATATACATAAAAAGTAACATCCCACCGAATTTCTTTATTTCGAAATAAATTATACGTAGAGGGAACTTTGAGTAACTTTTTATAATGCAACTGTGAAATATTTTATTTTAAAGTAATTGAAATTATGTTGCATTGGAATATGTTGTACGATTATAAAAATAAACAACTTTTGAGAATACATAATTCTGACACTTTAAAGTCAAATGTATTGGAAATTACAAGCGACTCCTATATATTTATATTATAAAAAGTTATTCAGAATTTCATTCTTTATAACATATTTCAGAATAAAAAATCCTTTGTGATATATTTTATCTATAATATATTTATATTTAATATAATTTTTATCCTCTATAATATATTTCAGAATAAAATAAATCGATGAGATGTTATTTTTTATGCATATTTATAATAATAATTAAGTTTCATAAACTTTTGCAAAACTGTAAACATCGAAATGACTCTGCACACTTTGTAAGAATTTTCTAATCGCGTATACAATTATTTCGTTCTTAGTATTTCGTGTACAGTTCTTTACGTGCAGAAAGCTGGATAATTCGCGTACCTGCGTGAACTCCCGAATTCCACTGGAACGGCGTGCGGACGGGATCGCGAGATCGACTTCTGTATTTCTCTTTACCCGCGTTGCAAGCCTGAGGATCCTGCGTATCTTCCCAGCTTATGTCGCTCTTATCAACCATGCCGATTTCTTCACCGTAATATGTAACCGCCACGCCCGGCAACACCATGACCAACATTACCATCTGATCGGACCTTCCGGGGTAGCGCGAAGCGGTACGGCTGCGATCGTGATTTCCTATCTGCGGATATTTGGCCAATTTGTAGATTTCCGGGCTTTTACGCGTTATATCATGCGTTCGTCATGCCGGGATATCTCAATTAACTCGCGACCGTATAAATTTTCCGTAATAGCCACCGTTAAAAGCTATTACGTCGCGTCGTAATATACTAGTGTTCGTATCGATTATCACGTAACCGAACGAAATTATACCGCGATTTTTACAAAATGACGCTCGTATTATTATTATATAATATTATATAATAAACTATATATAACTATATAATATTATATATAATTATTAAAATTTAGTCCGCGAATTATATACTTAGTACGTATAAGCTATATTTAACGGTTATTTAGCGACAAATTATATTCAACGGTTGTTGACATGCGAATTGTCCAATAATGCAAAAGTGTAGAAAAATTCCCATGCAAGCTGAAATATTTTGCGCGAAGTTCCTTTCGTCGCGTTACATATATATAGTTCTCGATAACGTTCTACGTTATCAAAAAGAGATTCAACAATGCGCTCGCTGAATTTCCCGATTGGCTAGACGCCAAGTTTGCAAGTTTGATATCTACCGTAGCGCGCTTTACCGTGATGAAAGATTGCTGAAGTAACGTTTCCTTACCACCCAGTTGGCTACGCCATCCTTGGGCTTCACCTTCATCCATTTGTCTATTATATTTTTTAATTCCGTGGCACTAGAATTGGCGTTAACGTTCATGATAAGATTAAAGTTGAAAGGAATGTGGGAACCGTAATTGTAATATTTGACGGTATTCTCCAACGAAGTATACGCCTCGGTCATTATCACCTTGTGAGTGCGAAAAGATAAACGAACAGGTTATTAACGCATGTATATGGCAAAGCTAACGCAATCTCAAGCAACAGTATATTGAATATATTTTGATCTTACTATTTTGCATATTACGATACAATATAAATGTAACAACTTGGTAATTATACGTAATTACCAATACGCGCTTGGTAAATGTGATTAATTTCGTTCAGTTTATCATATTTGTCAATTATGACTAATTACCAATTTTAGTTGATGAAAACCAGGATTAGGAAGTAACTCGTTATTTATAACGAGGTTACAGTTACAGTTATTTTTTTTGGTAACTATAACTTAATTTCGTTCCGTTTTTTTCCATCTATAACTTAACCATCTGTAATTTAACTTAGTTACATTTGTTTGATAACTAATAACTAATTTAATAGTCACTTTATATATTTAAAACTCAAGTTTCTGGCAGACTAGCACGATAACGTGACGTGCGAGCTTGATATGCAATAAGAATACAGTTATTCTGACTGCATTTGGAAAACGCGCTATTGCGTCATCTATCTTTATCGTTCATTAGATTTAAAACAAGGATAAAATGACGCAGTAGCGCTGATAGTCTCCTCTCCGAACACAACTTGTATTTCTTTCGAAAAAATTGTATTCCCATTGGACATTTCCGTTGCGCGTTGCCATTCCTTATTTGTTAACATAACCTGTGTTCAACGTGAAGTGCGCTGTATGGTTTCAGTTATATAAAAAATTCAAGCAATGGTTTGAGATGTTTTATATGGATAAAACATCTCAAACCATTGCTTGAATTTTTGAGATGTTTTATCCATATAAAACATCTCAATCTTCGGAGAAGGATTGTAAAATGCCATGGCCAGCATTTGCAGAAATATTTGAGTTACAGCAAAAATTTAGATATATATATATATAATTTATATTTAAATAAAACGTTTAAGCTCAAAAGCAGAAGTACAAACAAGATAAATAAATGATTATAGCAAAACAAATTAATAGTTGAATTATAATTTTACTATATTTTCCAAAGAGTTTTGTTAATCGTGTAAGATTATTAGTAAGTTTTCTACTTTTTACAAACTTTTTTACAAAGAGAAAGTTAAAATTATAAAAATACATTTTTAATAAATAATATTAATTGTTATTCCCCTACTCGACTTTATTCCTTGTTATCATTATAATATTCACTATATATTTTAAGATCGTTAAAATCAGTAAAGTCATTAGCAATATTTGTATATTTATCCGTATATTTATTGTTTTTACTAACCGAAACTGGTAATTATCCATAATCACCAATAAATCTAACTAATTGAATGAAATTTATCATCATATATATACATATTTACCATACATGTTGATAATTATGCATAATTACTGATTTATTATATTTATCGTAATATTTACATCACACAAGAAGCACTTGAGAGAAAGAGAAAGTGAGTGAGAGGGCGAGAGAGGGGAGCATAAACGCACCTTTTCATCCGTATTAGTTCGATTAGCGTAGTTGTCCAAGATCTCTCTCCAACTTCGCACCAATTCGTAGGTCTGCTGTTGATCCTTTGTCAGCGTATGATTCAGATATTCATAATCATCCTTCGTTGCACCCGGTGTAAAGCTTCGGGGCTCGTCCGATGTATAATTCGTCTCGAATAAATGCGGTAATGCGTCTATGCGGAACCCGTCCACGCCTTTTCGCAACCAGTACTCAATGATTTCCTGCGTGGCGTAAAAGCAAAATTCTGATGTGCAGTAATATTGTATGTACGCACGAGAAATGCGACTACATACCTGCATTTCCTCTTGCACATTGGGATTTGTGTAATTCAAATCTGGTTGTCTGCGTTCGAATTGGTGGAAGTACCACTGCTTTCGGATCTCGTTGAATGTCCAAGCCGGACCACTGAACACGCTTAGCCAATTATTCGGTGGATCTTGATTGTCATTTCTTCCATCCGCCCATATGTAATAATCGACATACTTGCCGACGCGATGCACACTCTGGTTGAACCAGTAATGCTCATCGGAAGTATGATTGGGCACGAAGTCGAGAATAACCTGAATTAAATATTAACAGCGGATGAGGTGGGATATTATTACCGCGCAGTGAGACGCAACGTGCGGCTGAAAAATGAAGTGTCTTCTTGAACGGGTTTTATTTTCGCGACTACCTTCAGTCCAAGTTTTTTTGCGCGCGCCAAGAGATCTTTGAAGTCCTCTATTGTGCCAAATATTCCGTCGATATCTTTGAAATCTGAAATGTCGTATCCAAAGTCGACCATAGGACTGCGATTAATGGGCGATAGCCATATCGCTCCTACTCCAGACTCCACGAAATGCTCAAGTTTGCTCATAATACCTGTTGTAACGAAAACCGACGTATGATCTGTCACAAATTTGCGATGATTTCTGACATTTACCAACATGATACATTGGTTTTAACCCTTTGAAGCACGAATTTTTCTATGCAATAATAAAAGAAACTGATTATGTATATAGGGGTTTTCCGGGGCGCTGATTACGAATCCGGAGTCAAAATTTTTAAATTCAAAATAGCGGGTTCAATATGGCGACTTCAAATGGCTAACTTTAATATATACTTTAATATGATATTATGGATATGTATCAAACTCAGTATATACAGAGTGCTAAATTTCGTAACATAACAGGTAAAAAATCTCGAAAACTATAAAAGATATTAAAAAAGCTAAAACACGTATTCCATGATTTCGAAGGGGAAAGAGAATGGCATTATCAGTTTTTTATTTGGAGGGCATTTTCAAGGTCAGTTAAAAGTCAATTTAATTTTTTAAAATAGAAAGCCCAATTTTTTATTATATCTTCTTTTTCTGCTAATTAATTTTAACAACTTTTGTCTGAAATATTTTTTATTTGCCTAATATTTTTTGAAATATTTAAAGAAAACTTGGTAACTTTTTCAACATTTAACTTACGATATCTCTAACTTTTTAACTATTCGTCGAAAGAAAAAATAGCATTAGACTTTTTTACTTTATTTATTATCAAGAATATATTACTATAATAGTGCCCTAACTTTTGTTAACTTATCGACCTTGGGAAATTTCCAAATTATTAAATTACTAAAAGTTAGGGCGCTATTGTAACAATATATTCTTGAGACTAAATAAAGCAAGAAAGTCTAGTACTATTTTTTCTTCCGACAAATAGTTAGCGAGATATCGTAAGTTAAATATTGAAAAAGTTATCAAGTTTTCCTCAAATATCTAAAAAAATATTAGACAAATGAAAAAATGTTTTAGACAAAAGTTGTTCAAATTAACTAGTAGAAAAAAACAGTGTAATAAAAGATAAGGGTTTCTATTTAAAAAACGCAAGTTGACCTTCAAATGACCTTGAAAATAGAAGTCAAAGTCAATGTCAAGGTCATCATAAGGTAGCTCACTTAAATTTCTACAACTTTTATTCAAATCATTTTCCTTGAAACTTCAATACTGAAGAGTTATTAGGGTGGTCCGTTACTTTTGGGACACTCTGTATATATACACACACACATATATATATATATTATGTTTTCTCTATTTCGATTATTTTTCGCACGATTTTGATACTTCGCAGGTTGCACGACTCTCGAGTCTTGATTCTAATGACGGATTCTTCATTCAATTTCATCGACGGCCCTCTTCACGGCCCTCTTTGAATGCCTTATGCCACTCAAAAACTCTTGTTCGCGACAGATATCCTTTCTTAACATTTCCAACGTTTGCCTGAAGTTTATTTGGTTCGCAACATAAAATTTAACGCACATTTTTTGATTAACTGATTTCGACATCGTAAAAATCGCCATGAACAACAATCACTGTCTAACAAAAACCACTGTAAATTGTTTACTAATAAGTGTAGCGTCATGAAATTTGACACAAATGGCACTGACAGTTGTGCCAACTTAAAAAACAATTACAACATGAGATTCCACAAGCGCGGTAAGTTCGGAAGTTAGTTTCCGGACAGAAGGTATAGTAATGATTTTACGATTTGGAATAATCTGTCTGAGAGATTCATGGTGCGAGTATTAGTTTCGTAGGTGTGAATTTTCTTTTCTTCTTCGATCGCGCATCGTGCACCAAAGTGCATCGCGCGCAAAGTGCAACGCTGTCACGGCGAAGACTGAATACAACACGAAATCGTTGTCAGGCGACAATCGAGACTGTCCTCGTTACGAAACTATCCCATCTTCCCGGACGGTGTGTAATTACAGAGAGTAGGCGCGTCGCAGCGTCATTTTCGTTGATGCTTATCGCGAGAATCATTATGGAAGGTGATGTGCGAACGTGAGAGGGAAAGAGAGAGAGGGAATAGGGGGAGAGACACGTCCAACGTAGAATGGCGTCTCGACGCTCGTTCATCCGGTTTTCCTTACCTTTGAGATCACCCACGCCGTCATCGTTGGCGTCCATAAAACTGCGGGGGTAAACTTGATAGAAAATCGTATGGCTCCACCATCCCCGGTTAAGGATCTCTCCCGAGGTGAGAGCGACTGTTAGCAGCAGCAGACCGAGGACGACGGTGCGACCGAACATCTTCGCGATTGTATCGCACGCTTTTCTGCCGCGGTTTATATCTGATGGATGACAATGCGGCAGAAAGAAGAATACGCGCTTGAGGACGTCTTATCGAGCGTGCTGAAAAAAGAAAGATCTCGCGTGCTCGTCACGACGCGTCAGAGGATCGTTCATGGAAGAACACAGTGGTGTCGAGCTCGGCGAACAGTAACACGGATGACAGGCCGTTGTTTCCAGCGGATGAGATCTCGTAAATGCGTGACTTTTCCGAGGGTGAGCTGGTAAAATGTGAGCTGGGCGGTAACAGAAATCACCCGGGCCCAGATTTCCGTCGCTTTCGACGATCCGCTCGTGAAAACAACAGAGACGAGTCGAAGGGAAGAAAAAAGAAAGAAGTTGAAGGGGTTCGAAAGCATGTCTTCGAACTGGTAACTTGACATGATCCCATGACTCGATAATGATGTATATATACCCAATTAATTTCTCTTTTTCCGATATAGATTTCAGGTCTTTTACGTTCACGGTTCAGCGATATTGCGGGAAAAATTTTCATTTAGCGAACTATAGCGTGATAATCTTATTATACTTAGCTGCAGACTCGCATAGGAGAAAATGTTTTTTTTCTTTATTAGTTTTTCTTTAGAAGAAAATTTAATTACGGATTGAATCGCCGGTACATTTATCGGAAATTAGTGGATTTCCCTTTTAATTAAATCGAGAGTGGTTTTTCCTTCAGTAAAATTCGTGCCGAGGCGTGTAATTATTGACCTACCCGATGACACTTTAATTACACCGATGAAATGTATTACAAATATGAAAAAATGCTTCTGGAAATATTCCTTCGTGCACGTTATATGAGAATTTCCCGTTTACGAGATTACGTAGCGATGTGCGTATATATGTGTGTGTTTACTTTTTGTTCTTATAAAAATATTAATGACGCATAGATGGTCACAGATAGAGATATCTATCGCGATATCTAGATATCGGCAGCTGGGGTATACAGTGTGTCCCATTTTAAGTGAACTAAATAAAAATCTTGAAAAACATGAAAGATACTAAGAAACGTTTCAGACAAGTTGTATTGTTTCAAAAGGGACATAAAACGACTATATCATTTTGTTTACAGGTGGCGCCATTTTCGAGATATTCACTGATCATTACTTTTCTTAAATGGGAACTCCAATTTTTTAGTTAGCTAATATATTTTGAGATATTTGAAGAAAATTTGGTAACTTTTTCAACATTTAACTATGATATGATATCTCGCTAACTATTTATCGAAAGAAAAAGTAGTACTAGACTTTTTATTCTATTTAGTCTCAAAAATATATTATTACAATAGCGCTCTAATCTTTGTTAACTCATGGACCTTTGGAAATTTCAAGATCATTAAATTAATAAAAGTCAGGGCGCTATTGTAGAACTTATATTCTTGAGACCAAATAGAGTAAAAAAGTCTAGTATCACTTTTTCTTCCGACAAATAGTTAGCGAGATATCGTAAATTAAATATTGAAAAAGTTACCAAGTTTTTCTTAAATATCTAAAAAAATATTAGGCAAATAAAAAAATGTTTCAGACAAAAGTTGTTTAAAAAGTTAATTGGTGAAAAAAGATGATATAATAAAAAAAACTCTGATTTCCATTTAAGAAAAATAATGATCAGTAAATATCTCGAAAGTGACGCCATCTGTAAACAAAATGATGTAGTTGTTTTATGTCCCCTTTGAAACCATACAACTTTTGTCTGAAATGTTTTTTAGTATCTTTCATATATTTCGAGATTTTTGCTTGCTTCATTTAAAATGGGACACCCTGTATATTTCAACAGATCAGAGCTGCGGAATAAGTAGCGAAGTAAATAGTGGAAATTTTGTAATTTGACGCGTCATCCATGAAAGAAATGTTACATATGTAAACAAATTATATATATTATATACTAAAATATATTATATATTATATACTAAATTATTATAATTATATACTAAAATAAATTATATATTATATATTATATAAAATGTGAAAAAATTATTAATGCCTCCGAGACGCTCATATGTCTAATTACAAAAATTCTTTATGACACTGTACAAAATGACTGTATAAAGAGTATCTTGTAGAAAGGGAGAACTTGTGATAGATAATTAATTAAAGATAATTTCCACCAACATCTGAAGAGTGTCATTTTATTGTTATTCGAAAGTAAGCGCAAGAGTGATTTACGTTTATTGATTAAAGTGATGTGAGGACATTCAACGCAGCTATATGTCGCAATAGAAGAACCGTTTCTTATAGAAATCGCAGTTATAGTTTACAAGTACACAGTAGATCGAGAGGTGTTTATGCAGCTCTCCAACATTTTGTTTTTGTATAATCTTGCATTAAAAAGAAGAGCGCACGTTGCCACGGAATGCTTTATTCGATGTATTGCGAGTGAAAATAATATTTCATGAGCGAAATACTTTGTCGCGACACTACAACGTTGCGCGTAAAGTTACATGTGAAACGGAGTGGAATATTTTTCCTCTTGTCCACACCATGAAAATCATAAATTACGGGTTTACAAAGAACTACGTCATGAGTTTCGTAGAAAATATAATTAGAATTTGATCATCACGTAATAATGCGCGTAGATCTTTATCTGTATGATATGTGAGATATTTTGTTTTTTATTATAGAAAATGGCGTTTTTATAAAACGCCAATAAGATAAACGAACATAGATAGATAAGGAGAAACAGAAGCATATCAGAGATCCGATGCGGAGTTGATAGCTTTACATCTTAAACGGCGTTCTCGATTTGATTTCCGCGAAAATAAATTCGCACGTGTCCGGCGTATTCGTGAAATCGTGGATTCCACGCTCGGCTAACGTAACGTTCTATAAAATAATTATATTCGCTATTTGGTATGCTTTAGCCACGGCGTCGTTACAATTAAAACGGTTTTTCATTTTTGAAGAATGGCACATTTTTTCCTCCATTGAATTTCGAATTTTTATTGAATGATTGTGACTGTTGTAATCCATTTTCGTCCGAGGGGGTTCAAAATTTCCGCCGGCATAGCGAAAAAAGTTTGAGATAGGATAGATGAAATTCAACGAGACGTGAGTACATGCAAGTGCCATTGTTGATCGCATTATTACAGCAGAAAGAGACAAGAAATATGTACAGGATATCCCAAACCACCCAGGCCACTCGATTCTTTTGTAAATGAAATTTTTAGAAAGAATTTTAGAGAAAAATGTTTCAGACAAAAGTTGTTGGTTTCAAAATGGACATAAAACCGCTATATCATTTTGTTTACAGGTGGCGCAACATTCGAGATATTTACTGATCATTATTTTTTTAAATGGAAATTTTTTATTATATTAAGTGTTTGAATTATTTATCGCTGTTGACTAATAGAGGTCAGTAGTTGTGCTATTTTAACGTGGCCGAAAGTGACCGTTGGTGTATATGAAAATATTGTCAATAGGCTTCAATAATTAGTGTGTAACATTAGATTGGAGTGCAAAGAACACAATTTTTTATTGCATTGAAGATGTCGGATTTCGTATCAAAAAAGAGCGTTTGCAGGAAGCATTACTTTTCTGCTTTTATCTCAAGAAATCTGTTGCTGAGAGTCATTTGTTTGCTAGTTTGCTAGTAGAGGTTTATGGGGAGCATACTCTATTTAATAGAAATAACTTGCAGATATTGATTTAGACGAGTCAAAGACAATAATTTTGACGTGAATGATAAAGAGCGCCCTGGTCAGCCGAAAAAGTTTGAAGATGGAGAACTGGAGGCATTACTAGAAGAAGATTCATGTCAGACGCTCAAAGAGTTCCTGGAAACATTGAATGTCGATGAGTCAACCGTTAACAAACGTTTAAAAGCAATGGGAATGATCCAGAAGCTAGGAAACTGGGTCTCATATGAATTGAGAAGGAGAGACATTGCGAAACGTCTAACCATTTGTAAATTGCTGCTTCAAAGACAAAAACGGAAGTCATTTTTGCATCGAACTGTGACTGGCGATGAAAAATGGATTCGTTATGGCAATCCTAAGCGCAAGAAATCATGGATACATCCCGGCGAACCATCAACATCAACGCCACAACAGGATATTCATGGAAAGGTCATGCTGTACATTTGGTGGGATCAAGTCGGTGTCGGTGTGTATCATGAGCTGCTGCAACCGAGTCAAGCCATTAATGCTGAATATTACCGACGACAATTACTCAATTTGAATCGAGCACTCAAAAAAAAAACGTCTGCAATACGCCAGAAGACATGACAATATTATTCTTCTCTATGACAATATCATATGTTGCAAAACTAGTAAAGGAAATCTTGGAGGCATTTAGATGAGATGTCTTATCCCACCCACCCTCCATTCACCAGACGTTGCTCCTTCAGATTACCATTTGTTTCGGTTAATGCAGCATGGCCTTTCTGAGTAACACTTCAAATCTTTCGAAGATATCAAAAAATAGCTCGATGGATCGCTTCAAAAGAACCTGAATTTTTTTACCGCGAAATCCATGTGTTACCCGAAAAGTGGAAAAAGATTGTAGCTTCTGAAGAACAATATTTTGTTTATAAAATATAATGTACCGTTCTTTTGAAAAAAAACATGAGTTTTTGTTGCAAAAAAACATTGAAAATTAATTAAACCACCTAATATCATCTATTTTTTATTACATCATCTTTTTTTACCAATTAATTTAAACAACTTTTATCTGAAACATTTCTCTATTTATCTAATATTTTTTATGATATTTAAGGAAAACTTGGTGATTTTTTCTTATTATCATTTATTATTTTATATTTAACTTACTATATCTCGCTATTTGTCGAAAAAGAATAATACTAAACTTTTTTACTCTATTTGGTCTCAAGAATATATTGTTACAATAGTGCCCTAATTTTTGTTAACTTATCGACCTTTGGAAATCTCAAAATTATCAAATTAACAAAAGTCGAGACGCTGTTGTAACAATACATTCTTGAGATCAAGTAGAATAAAAAAGTCCAGTACCACTTTTTTTCCGACAAATAGTTATCGAGATATCGTAAGCTAAATATTGAAAAAATTTTTCTTAAAGTGGCGTCATTTGTAAACAAAATCATATGGTTATTTTATATCCCCCTTGAAACTACAAAACTTTTCTCTGAAACGTTTTTCTCTAAAATCGGGTCGGGTAAAGTCGGGTAAAGTCGGGTTTACAAAAAAATCGAGTGGCTCGGTAGTCTGGGACACTCTGTATACGCGCAGTCGGTTTACTGACATTTAACACAATCCATCGCCGGAACAGTACGTCGTAAATAAATGATGTAGAGGGGCGCTATGAATAAAGCGCTATTGTCATTTCAATTATCAAAATTTACGGAGATTTAGCGTAACATTTATGAGAATATATATACATCACTGTTATAACACAATCAGGCAATATCGAAACACAATGTTTTGTTCGCACAACGAAGGAGACGGCAAGAGCGGTGAACGATGAGCGCATAAATGCGCACGAGGATACTTTGTTATGAACGAATGCGCCGAATTCCGAATGTTGTGGGACAGCCCGGGAGGGAAATTCAAGGACATTCGCCAGCATTATCCATGTAATTCGGGCATCTGTATCCGTGGACTGAAAGTCTGTATACGCAACAAACACTCGTCAGGCTGGTTTCTATTTGCGCTGATTATGTGGACACCACAAATCTACGTTTCGGTTGATACGACTGGTCGGGCTTACGAAGTACACGGAAGCAGATGCCAGTCACGGTCATGCAGCGAGTGTCACGTAGATATATCAGCGTGAGCTGAAAGCCCTCTGCTCAAAGCTGGAGATGTTGCGTTCTGTCCGATTCTACAGATTGGATTGATTCTCACGTGCGACTTGGATGACATACGTTTACTCAGGGTGAATTTTATCAACCTCGGTTAAGCCAATTGACGGTTAAAAGTAACAGAGTGCTGAGTTAAATTCTAATGGACGTGGCTACTTCATGCTTAACTTCAGCTTTCTAATTGTAGTATGTTTGTTCTGCCTCACGTTAAAAACTTGAGGTCATTAAAATAAAAAAAAAAGGAGAAGAAGTGATAAGCTATTTTATCGATAAATATGTCTTTAATGACTTAAAGGTCACATTTATCAATGAAAGAAAGTTGAAAAAATATAGGCTTCTGCTATCATTTATCTTGATTAATGTAAGATAGAATAAACAGCACGTTAGTGCTAGCTTGCATATTGATGTTAACTTGTGTCATTATCGTTATTTTCGTACTTTATTTTCAACAAAAATGATGAAAATAAAATTTCCTTAGAAAACTTGTTCTATAAAAAATAGTAATTTGCAACATTTGAAAACATTTCATTCTACTCTTTTTATATTTTCTACTACAAAAATAGTGATTCGTACACTTTATGTACACGATTGCAGTTGAGCATAATAATAATTGGCCGACAATGGCTAATAGCTAAACATGATAGCTAAACACATATAAACTCTTCAACACACACACATATATATATATGTATATATGATATATGTTTGTATGTATGAGATCTGAGTTGGAGTTTGGAAGAGGCAGATCTTACTGTGAGAAATTTATGGAGTCTTTTCTTCGATAAAATGATCGTCATGTCTAGAAGGGGAGGGGAGGGAAAGTCATACAATCCGGTTCGGAGTCCGTATTGTAAACGGACATGGTTAATATAATCCGACTGTCGGATATCAGCAAATATTGAGAAAAGTGGAACGGGAAATTAAATTCTCAATTTATACCTTTCAGAGTACTTTATGCAGGTAGGATCAATGAGTCCGGATTGCTATTAGTTCGGGAATGAACTTCACGCTGGTAGCGCGTCAAGTGCGTTTATGCGAACGACAAGTGTTAGAGGGTGAAACAAAGTAATCTCGACGTGAGTGCGAAATTGCTTTTTAATGATACAGCATGCCGTCGTCGCTATACATTTCATTTCGTTTAGATAAAATCCACTTAGATTAGATTTACTCAGATTAAACCTGCGACGGCAGCGTTGCTTTCCATCAAGTTCCAGCTACGCGCGAATATTCAGCTATAACCGGGTACACGCCGGGGAGATTAATAAATGAAATAACAGCGTGACGCGCGAACATAAAAGTGGTATACCAGGACGGGTCACGTTCCAAGGACCGAAATAATTTCCTCGTCCGGGAAAACTATGGGGCTTACATGGAAAACGTATGACGTCTTATTCGGATACTCCTTTTCTTAGATTTTCGCCTGGCTTTACTCGACATCAACGCATATCACAGCTGCTGATGCGGGAATTTCCATGGCTTGAATGTCGTCAACTGGTTTTCTAAACATTTTAATAAGAACAGCAAAGCATGAGCGTGAAACGTTTTATGAAAAGTAATATCAGTGAATTCACGGGTGCTTCTCGCTAACACACATATACACACACGCGCGCGTGTCGTTTTTAGCGATGTGCGTATATATGCATGAAGAAGACGTATGCTTACCCAATGAGGAAATGAGCATTCGTAGTAGCATAATAAACATTCAGCTGCTTGAATAGGCCGGTAAGCATCGATAAGTCAACAATTTGCTTCTGATCCACAAAGTTTATGATTACGTAAACTGATTTTTCTCCAGCAGCTTCCCTGTAACGAAAAATATATCATACTCTTTTCGCTATTCGAATAAGTATATGTTTTTTTAATTTATTAGGCGTTCAGATTATCATGAGACAAGTATGCTTCTCTCTCTCTCTCTCTCTCTCTCTCTCTCTCTCTCTCTCTCTCTCTCTCTCTCTCTCTCTCTCTCTCTCTCTCTCTCTCTCTCTCTCTCTCTCTCTCTCTCTCTCTCTCTCTCTCTCTCTCTCTCTTTCTCTCTCTTTTCATCTTTAGAATACACTGCACATTTATATTTTATAACGTCTTTACCTGGCGAAAACAAGTACATTGTCGTTCAACAGTTTTGTAGACAGATTTCCTCGTTTCACCGATGACCACTTTCGTAGAGCAGAAACCGTCTTGTAGAGAGCGTAATATGAGTCGCTCCGTTTCTTTTCTGCAGCTAAATTGACAGTCTTGTAATTCTTGTTGATCGGCAGCCACGTTTTCGGGTTCGTGGAGAATCCTAAAATCACATATAAATTTCGATAACACCCGTGTTTAGGGGAGGCATTTCCAATTGCCTTGTGCTTTACATATATTATAAATATCATCTTCCTGAATAACAGTCAAAAAGTTTCAGCTGTCAACTAGACTTTCTTGCTTTATTTAGTCTCAAGAATATATTGTTACAATAGTACCCTGATTTTTGTTAATTTGATGATTTTGATATTTCCAAAAGTCAGTAAGTTAATAAAAGTCAGGGCGCTATTGTAACAATATATTCTTGAGACTAAATAAAGCAAGAAAGTCTAATACCACTTTTTCTTCCGACAAATAGTTAGCGAGATATCGTAAGTTAAATATTGAAAAAGTTATCAAGTTTTCCTCAAATATCTCCAAAAATATTAGGCAAATAAAAAAATATTTTAGACAAAAGTTTTTCAAATTAATTAGTAGAAAATACAGTGTAATAAAAAATAAGGATTCCCATTTAAAAAACGCAAGTTGACCTTCAAATGACCTTCAAAGTCATGGCCAAGGTCAAATTCAGGGTCACCATCAAGTTCGTTACTCGATTTTCTACAACTTTTGTATTTAAACTTTTTCATGAAAACTTGATCCTGCAAAGTTATTCGGGGGTTCCAGTATTTTTAAGACACTCTATATGGAGGAAAAATTAATATTTTTCATTCTGAATCCATCTATATATATATATATATTGTTTTATATTTAAATTATACGGACAAGAGAAAGGACAATATATCGCTATTCGGCTATGTGCTAGTTTTATTTCATCTTTCCTATGTTTCGTCGCGTAACCGGCAACAATTGCTAGATCGACTGGGTCGCACTGTGGCCCGAACGGCTACAATGCTTGTCCATCTCGACGCGTGCGCACTCATTAGATTTTTATAATTAATAACTCGATGACTATTGCGAATATCGCAAAATGATATTAGACTTTTTTATTCGTCTCAGTTCGTTCTATACCCCGACAAGCTCTGTCTGTGTGTTGTTCTACGATTTTTATAATATAAATGATTATATTATAAAATATGTAATATATCCTATATAATATATAATGATATTATAAAATATATAATATATCCTGTATAATATAATTATATTATAAAATATATAATATAATTTAATATAAAAAGGTAAGAAGGGAGTATTCAATTTATTCTGCCTTTATTATAAATTTCATATGTAGGTGATAGTCATCATAAAAACACAAAACTTTCTTGCACCATGAACAAAATACCAATGCTTCATTGTCACAGTTATATGTATTTACTATATAATATTTAACCTGTCAGTAAAAACAAATAGCATAAAGTTGACAAAGTGAAATATTGTGTGATTATAGTTCATAAGCACGTGCGTATACTTTCGTTGTATACATTTCATGTATACATTGTTGTTGTACATACATGCACTTTTGTTGATGCCAACAATAGCAGTTTGAAAACATTTCCGATACCTCAGGGTGATCCGGTCAGAAGTTTCGGATTCTGAGGGGATTTCCAGAAGTTCGGTGTAACGAGGATAGGGGAACCGGAACTAGGTGGTCAATAGCCCCACGACCAGACATCTCTGGTGGGGAAGCTGGTAAGAATCCGGGGTACTCCCTTCCCTTCCCCAGGGAGTAGACGAATTCATGATGATTTCTTTCTCAACTTACCCTCGAGATTAAAACAGAGCCTAGTTTTTGCACTTTGATTGGTGGAAGGATTTTATTGGAAAATATTTAAAAAGAAATTGATGTCAACGTCAGTGCCAGAAATAAATCAGATCCGGTAGAGTGACACCAGTTTTGACACCGACCGTCACGTGTTACATCTATCTAATAAGCGTTATCTATATCGCTCGAAGCAATCGCAAGGTAAATAGTAATCTTTTTCGGGTGTTGTAAAATACGATATTAAAATGGTACGTATACAGCCATCAACAACAGAATTTAACACATTATTAAATAAATTGGACGATAAAACAAACAAACAACAAGAATACACTGCCAAAATAGTGGTAACACAAGCTTTTTGAATATTTGAGGAAATGCCTATTAGAAGATGGAATTAGATTGGAATATGTGGAAGAACCGAGTGCGTTTGAAAAGACTATTGTTCTAGGAGAGGAAATGTATAACTGCTTAAAAGAGATTATACAAGCAGGAGAACACATCACAAACTGATGAAGAATTTTCGACTTTGCAATCATTGACATTATCGCCTTCAAAAACATCACGAGATATGGAAAAATTCGGTAGCTCTAAAAAACCGAGGATCGATGTAGTACCATTTGCATCGAAAATTAAAGCTATGACCTTACATGAATTACATTCAAAATGATCCGTGAGTACTATCGCTTCCAAAAGTACAAAATTATTGGAACAAAGTCCCAATTATATAGATGGAAACAACAAGTACAACAAGGAGGAACAAAACATGATATACACCAACAAATTCATAATTGGTATGATCGATTTGTTGAAACAAGGAAAGAATTACGGCAAATAACAACTCTCGTACTCTCCGACAGTGGGCAATAGCAGGTTCGCACCAATTCAGCAATTTGCCAAATTTTTCTTTTAAAGCTTCAGGAAGGTAGGTGAAAAATTTTAAAAGAGAGCATATTCGAAGTAAGTATATAATAAAATACGTTGCTGCGAATCATCAGTCATCTTTAGAACAGATTTTGGTAAAAACAGAATTGTTTCAAGAAGAGACCAATACTATAATACAGAATTTTAATTTAGATTATGTTATTACTGATCAGACAAGGATATACTGACCAGACTAGTTGTGAATATCGAATATGAGTGAGGCATACACTAGTTCATCAAAGTAAAACCACACAAGGAGAATTTCAGAATGTAAATAAAATGAAGTATTCTTATACGGCACAATATTCTCTAACAGCAACAGGAAGCTTGTGTTACCTATTTGTTCATCTGCTTACAAGAACGGTCAGGCAAGTTTGGCCTTCATATTCAAAACGAAGTAAATGTTTTAATGAAAAAAATATCTAAATATATGCATAACAGTTTCAAAATCTAGCAAACTGCACAAGGAATTATTTAATGAATATTTAAATAACATTATAAAATCATATGTGGACAATGGAAAATTCATGTTAATAGTTGATTCTTGAAGACAGATTGACCCGACTGTCTATGACGAAAAATTTAGAGACGAAGATGATATGCTTTTTGTACATTAAAAATAATTCTTCCCAAATGTATTCTGCTTTGTCAACTTTATGATATTTTTATAGGCAAGTAAAAAATTATAAAAGCAAAAATTATAAAAAATTATAGCAAAATTATAAAATACGCAAACTTTTTTTTATGAGAAAAGAAATTTGACAAATCGAGTTTGTCGAGTTTCTTTTCGTAGTTACACATAGAGAACTTTAAATTTCTCCTATCGTTAACGATTAATATCATATATATATATATTAATATCACATTGATTACGACAGATTTCTGGCACTTTCTTCACGATATGCAGAAGAAAATGTTTGATTCGATGAATATATTCCATCAGTTTTTATGGTTTTATCTTTTTCGATTTTTTTTATCACAGTGCTTTTTACGGTTTTAATATGAGCTATTTCTGCTGTCTCATAAAATGACCTTGTAATTGTAATCATAGTATAATGATTTCGTAAGTATCAATGAAGTGTTCTATTTTTTCTTCCATTTTTCATGAAGCTGTGTGAGTATGACAAATCCAAAGTGACAAGCGGTGGTATTGCAATACAATTTTTCTCGCCCACCTTCTTTTCGAAATCTCAAAATCTGACATACGACTCGACAAATATATTAATTCTGAATATACTATTCGTGATACGAGACAGATTGATGTTAAAGCGGCACACTTCGTTCGGCGCGAACCGGTTTCTATTATGACTGGTTATTTAAATGAGATTTCTCACTATTTATCGGCCGATTAATCGGTCCTCGACGAGGAAAATGCTTAAAATTTATTTGTGAGTGTTGTGTTTTGTAGCGACACTCAGTCTTGTCGGCTGCAAAGTGCATTTCGAAATTGATAATAGTGCGGAATATCGCTATTTATAAAGCGACATAACGTCATTTCCACGAACGGTCGATACTTTTATCCTATGTCTGCCGACGGAAGTTGAGCTCGCGAATCTTCTCTCTCAGGTGTCTCAGCGCCGTAAATTAACTCGGCGGATTTTCACGATTGGTTCTCATAAGCGACAACTGGCACGAATTGTGTCTCGCTAGGTACGACGGGCGAGGCGACACGATAATTTTAAAAGTTTTTAGAAGTTATTTAGGTGACCTACCAGCCGAGGTGGTGCCGTCCCATTGAAACGGTGTCCTCTCAGGATCTCGAGATGCTGTCTCATAATGATCTTTACCAGCGTTGCAACCTTGCGGGTCTTTGGTGTCTTCCCATGATATCCACGTGTCCTCCATACCAATTTCGTCGCCGTTGTAAGTTACACCCACACCCGGAAGCAATAGAGTCATCATAGTCATAGCTTGCGCTCGTTGTTCTCCGTAACGGCTCACTAATCTGGGTTTGTCGTGATTTCCGGCCTGCGAAAAGCACGCAACTCGATATTCGAATTCGCGCTAGCTATGCGAAGTTTTGTACTAACGATCTCGTTAACTCCTTCGATGGCATTAACGTAATAATGTATATTTTTATGTATCGAAAATATTTGTACCCCTGTGGGCATCGATGCAATAATGCGCATATCGATCATGTCTCGACTGACTGGCTCGATTTTCATAAAAATAGGGTTCTTTGAGCCGCTGAATATATCGAGTGAGTTAAAGAGTTACAGGCTTATATCTCGAAAAAGAAGCATTTTAGAGAAAAATATATTAGACAAAAGTTGTATAGTTTCAAGGAGGACATAAAATATCTATATCAATTGTTTACAATTGATGGTGTCACTTTCAAGATATTCACTGATTATTACTTTTCTTAAATGGAAATCCCAATTTTTTATTATATCAACTTCTCCTATCAATTAATTTTAATAATTTTTGTTTGAAACATTTTTTTTATTTACCTAATGTTTTTTGAGATATTTAAGAAAAAATTGGTAACTTTTTCAATATTTAACTTACGATATCTCGCTATTATTTGGAAGAAAAAATAGTACTAAACTTTTTTACTTTATTTGGTCTCAAAAATATATTATTGTAATAATATCCTAACTTTAGTTAACTTATCGACTTTTGGAAATTTCATCAAATTAACAAAGAATCATCAAATTATCAAAAGTCAGGACCCTATTGTAACAATATATATACCAATATATTCTTGAGACTAATATATTTTTGAGACCAAGTAGAGTAAAAAAGTAACACTTTTTCTTCCGACAAATAGTTAGCGAGATATCGTAAATTGAATATTGAAAAAGTTACCAAGTTTTTTTTTAAATATCTCAAAAAATGTTAGGCAAATAAAAAAATGTTTCAGACAAAAGTTGTTTAAAAAATTAATTGGTGAAAGAGATGATATAATAAAAAATTCTGATTTCCATTTAAGAAAAATAATGATTAGTAAATATCTCGAAAGTAGCACCATCGGTAAACAAAATGATACAGTCGTTAATGTCCCTTTTGAAACCGTACAACTTTTGTCCAAAAAATTTTTTCCTAAAATATCGCTTTTACAAAAAATCAGATAGTACGAGTGGTTTGTGACATTCTGTATAGGAATTTGAGGTAAAAATATTAAAATTGAAAATGGCAGATCTAATATGACGGTCAAAAAAATTAAATCTATCTTATTGTTATGAAACTCAGTATTTAAAGATATTTTTGGCCGCCATATTGAGTCCGCCATTTTAATTTTTGTAACTTTGTTCTCAAATTCTTATTTAGTAACTTGAAAAACTTCTAGATATCAGATGTCTTTAAAATCCGATCACTTTTTTTCTCGCCCACAGGGGCACAAATAAATAGTAAAATACCATCAAAGGGATTAAAAATGAATATTGTTTTCTTTTCGAAATCTTGAAATGTAAACGGAGTAACGTAGCGAGAAATAAAAAGTGTAGTTAACAGAATTGAAAAAATATATATTACACAGGAGAAATATTATTTATCACTGCAATGATTTACGATTCCAGCTCCGTTTATATTTCGGGATCTGTTTTTACTGCTGGCGAATCCGCAGACGGGCAATAATCGTCGACGAATTGACGAAGAATCGCTCCCTACCTATCACTTGCTCCAGGCTGATTTGTGCCTGAAACGTCACATCTCTTTCCTCGTCGCGACGAGATGAATGATTAGGATCTCGATTAGCTAAAAAGTGTCACGCAGCCTAATCGGGTTGACGCACAGCAGGCATTTCAAATTCTCGTTTCTCTCGCTCGACTTACCACCCAGTTAGCGGTCGCATCCGTGGGCATGTTTAGCATCCATTTATTGATCATCGTTTTCAAGTCGGCCGCCGTGGAGTCTCGACTTGTATCGGTGATCATTCCGAAGTTGAAGGGAAAGTGCGCCCCGTATTGGTAATACTTCATCGTCATCGTGATGTTTGAATACGCTTCAATCATCATAACTTTGTCGCCGGGGTACTCGTCCAGCACCGACCGCCAGCCTCGCGTCACCTCGTAGGTACGTGGTTGATCCTTCGTGTAGATTTTGTCTGTATAACCATAATCGTTCGGATTCGCGTTGCCCGTGAGCGGCTCGTTCGGGAAGCCTTGATGCTCACATAAATGCGGCACTGCGTCCACCCGGAATCCGTCCACTCCCTTGTTGAGCCAAAATCTTATGACGTCCTGAGAGCAAAGGAAACAGAACACGTTGTATGCTTCAGTTAAGTCCCATATAGCTCTCGAGTAGATTAAATTACGTGTCGTAACAAATCCACTTACTAGAAATAACGGTTCGCACATGAAGTGTGAAATAATTTTGGTTTTATATAAATTCAATTACTACTTATGCAATACTGTGTGATTAAAGTTGGATGTGTTTGAAATAGTCGAGAGAGAAGAAGGTAGAGAGGGAGGGAAAATAGGAGAGAGAGAGAGAGAGAGAGAGAGAACTCCGTTGTCAGCAAAATTAGATTGTTGAATTACTTATGTTACTGTTAATTAATGTCAGGAAGATGTATACAATTTGTTCACACGATATCTTTATCTTTATATTGTCTAGTATAGTGGAATAGCAGTGGGAGACAATTCTCTCGGCATCATATCCGAATAGATAAGCAATAAAAATAATGTAAAATCAGAGAAAGATATTAAAAATAGGCAATTTTTTTATTAATGGCAAAGTCTATCATTAAATATCCTATCCAGGATCTATTATTATATAAATTAATTATTGGAAGTCATTTACGGAATCTGGTAGAAACATGAAAAGCAAATATTTGCCTATTGTATTGTCGGAGGGAAGTTATGAAAATCGAAATATATTGTTGATTGCTGAAACTCACATGAAATGTTTTTTAAATTTTGTACCCTTTATCTGATTTTAAAATTAAATTAATTGCACATTTATATCTTGAGAGGTGAAAAAAAATTTGTATAAAAATATATATCCCATCAAATACAAGAATGATACAATTACATCGTGGTGTAAATAAATATTTAGCAAAAATCTCACAAGATTGTTATGATAGAATTGTTCTTTTTTATCACAATGTGATATTACAATATGAACTAGTACGTAATATGAATTAAGTACGTCCACGTTGAGATTGCTCTGTATCATGGTAGCGCCTACGCGAGTAAGGCCGTCGTAGCGAAAAGGTTAATTTCACCAAATACAGGACCATAAATATGACCGTAAATATTGCGTTTTAGCGTTGATATGGATAGTTGGCCTGGATCTATTCATGATTTTTTGCGTTTAGGATTGTCATAATTGATCCACTTTTCATCACCAGCGACAATCCGGTACAAAAAACTTTTTTCTGCCTGGCAATCAGAGCAGTGGCGATGGATGCACGGTTCAACATGTTCGCTTCGATCAGTTCATGTGGCATCCATTTTCTTTCCTTTTGAATTTTTCTCATTGTATGTAAACGGTAAGAAACTGCAACATTTAGTGCCTCAGCCAATTCCTTGAATGTTTGAGATTAATTTTGGTCTAATAATGCTTGCAGTTCGGCGGTCAAACATTTTTGGCTGACCTGGGCGTTCCTTGTCTTTCACATCAAAATCACTATTTTTGAATCGTCGAAACCAATCTCTACATGTTGTTTCTGATGGACCAGAGTCACTATAAGTTCCCACTAATATTCGATGTATTTCAGCTGCAGTTTTCTTTATATCAAATTAGTGGAGGAGAATATATCGAAAAAACAACTTATTGTTCCATTTGAATGAATTGATTCAAAAACAATATCACTGTTTGCAAAAGTAAACTTTGGTGGACTGAGTTCTATTAAAAAATGTCTAACCTTTAATATAGCATGAATTCCAGCTGTCATAGTTCATTACATTTGCAGCTGAAGCCATTTAAGCGCGAACAGCGAAAATTAACCGAAACACCTAATAGTTTCCAATGATTAATTTAGATTCCCCTACTGGTCTACACATGGCCTATTTTTAACATCCTCTCTAACAAGTGATTTTAATGTCTACTAACATCTGATGATGCTAAATGTGTATCACGTAGATAGGGAGAATACCGTGCGCATAGTTTGCTTTCAGTTCCATTCATGACTTTTATGTTGTAAATGTAGCATGTTCCGAGACAGAATATTGCGACATAAGAAATTTGTGAATATTAAAATTCCGAGCATGCACTGCGTCGTCGTTGTGCAACTATCTCGCGGCCAAGGTGAGGAGAAATTGAATAAAATACGGATGACGTTTGTTGTGCGGGTGAATGAAGAATGAATGAAGAATGAGAACCATATACACATGTAATGAAGAAAGAGAACCGCGGCCTGATGTGTACGTTACTTTAATAATTACAGAATAAGGGGCATAGCAATATGGCGTTCTCCGTGTGTATCTTCCGCGACTCCGAGTTTCGCCAAGTTTTTCAGGGCAACGCAAAAATGATCGCGAGTTGCCATCACGCGAACTTACAAAGCCATTCGCTCGCACGATAGTTCGTCCAATTCGGATTTTATCGCGTGCACGACCGTACTTTACAGCTTTAGATATTACGGCCAAATATTCCGCCATTTCGCTGTTTCCTGAATTACTTCGCGCGCGCTGCGATTTTGTGATTGCGGAATATAAATTTCCACGAAATCTTTGCGCAGTAATATTCTACCGGTCTTGGACTGTAGGTAGCGGAAAAAGAAAAAAGGATAAAATTCCGCGTGCGATTCAACGCGGGAGCATCGCGGAAGGCTTGACCTCTCGCCTTTAATTAAGTACGACGTGCAAATAATTTCCCTGAAGGTCGTTATTTCGGCTGGACGAACTGTTGTTTGCTAAATTGATCATAATTGATCATGTGTGGCTTCACGCCAGCTGGATATTCGTTATCGCATGATCTAATGATCATTATCGACCGTCATCTTTTCCACTAATGCGCACCCATCGCGCGCGCGTGTACGTAAATATTAACGTTAGTAATTTTATTGACTTCAAAGACTTTGACACATGTTTTCAAGAATATGACCGTGACTAACTTGCAAAAAGTTTAGCTATCGCTCAATGTATTCAAAAGTTAATAACAATTTTGTAAATAGAATCTATTTTTCCGACACAATATACATTTTAAAAAATATTAAATAGTGCACATGAGCGACAAAGTGGAGGGTTTAACCCTTCCCTGTACTCTCTCCTTGAAAAACCTAACCAAACTCATATATCTTTGCATATGGTTGGGTGTTGTTAGAAAGGTTTCTTTAAAACCCATAATGCTCAACCATATGCAAAGATGTATAATTTGGGTCAGGTTAGGTTGGGTTAGGTCAGATCAGCTTAGGTTGAATTAGGCTTGGTTCTTTTTGAGAAGGAAGTGCAGGGGAAGAGGCGGAGTTCTCCCCCGCTCATATGTATTGTTTAACATTTTTAATATACCTTGTGTATCAGAAAAATAGATGTTATTTACGAAACTTTTTTGTTAATACCTTTTTAATAAACAATGAGCGATGATTGAAACTATTCGCGAGTTAGTCAGAAGCATGACCTTGATAACGTGTGGCAAGGTCATTAAATCGGCGACATTGCCACTAATATTAATATTTGGCCGCATGATGTTATAAGTATGAGTAATTTACAAAGATTGGCAAATTGCATATTCACTTCCTGATGGCTCCGTGGAAATAATTTCACACTCGTCGCGGTGCGCGGGCACAACGACGAACTAATTGCATCCGCTTTAAATAGGACAATGCGATTGTGTTGAGAATGCGAAAACACTTGTCCGTCATTTTGCATGTTTCAACGGGCGTCGATTCATCGTAGTAAGTTAATTACCAACTGGCGCGGCGTTATGCGACGGCCTCATCGTCGATCGTTTCCAATCGCGACCGCACGCGGAGCCGTTTTCCACTCAAGACTCGAGTCATTTTACGAACGAATTGCCGTTCGGCAGGAGAGTGCGCGAAAAGGAAAAAAAAATAAACGGGACATATTTCTCTCTCACCACGCGTCGCGGTGAAAGATAGAAAATCTGTCGAACTCCCGCCGATAGTGAAAAAAGTCGATTCTGTTACACCACGTATACAAGCGGGATTTATTTTCACCCTCGTGACACTGAACGGCGATGTAATCCCGCCATCTCCGTTTTGCCACGGTTATCCGAGACAATAAGATAACAAGATAATCTGATAGCCCGACTTCGACCGGCACGTTTAATTACGAGTTTTCCCGGCCATATTCGGCTTCACGAACGCGGGAGCCCTGAATCGTCTTTCCACCTCGTAGTCGTCAGTTGATATCGTGCCAATTCGGCAGATGAGAGCCGCAATTGACGAGTCACGCGATTCAAATATCCGCAGGGTCATGTTGCGGATGAATAATTGTCGGATAGATAATTTCACAAGAGATTTACCATTGCCTATCATAAACAGAGACGCGCGCGATCGCGCTTGTTGTATCGAAAAATCCGATCGAACTGTCCTGATTATTTCGATATTAATTATTTCGATTATTTCGATATTAATTATTAGATATACAAATTAATTCGTGACCCTTGTGGTTAGTTAACTGTGTAACTCTATTTTAAATTCAAATCTTTTACATTCGCATGGGGTTTTGGAATGCTAACTTTTAAAATGAGAAAAGTCCCATATAACTGTACATTATATACCCACTATACAGCTGACGACATAACCTCATAAAGAAGTATTGAGCGTGATGTCGTTCGATAAGCAGCATATCAGATATTGCATTTTTTACATTTCGATTAAAAAAATGCTGTAAGGAAATGCTTGCTCTGTTTTAGAGGAAGATCTCGTGGAAGGGGTAGGAGGCTTATAGATCAGATAGCACAAGACAGATTTCAATATGATCCTGGATATTCTTACAGGAAAGAAACTTAAATATTGAGTGTTTACACTCAATTGTTTGAATTTACTCTCAAATTTAATTAATTAAATTTAAGTATTATTGGGTTGGCAAATAAGTTCGTTCGATTTTTGTTTCAGTGTAAGTTTCATGCGGATTCGCTTTTCTTTTCTCAGTGCTATCGTGCAAATCGAATACACATTTGAAAGGTTATGTTTCACTGTTTATGTTGTGCTGTGTTTGGTTTGGCTAACATCAGTATTATGTGTGCTGTGTAGCTGTGAACATGGAAATAAATAACGTGTATTATCGTCACATTTTGCTCTATTATTTTAAAAAAGGCAAACGAGCTGCGGATGCTCATAAAAAGATATGCCGTGTATATGGAAATCATGCCTTAACAGAATGTGTATGCCAATTTCCATTCTGGAGATTTCGACGTCAATGATACGCCCCGCTCCGGTCGCCTGACCGAGATTAATTCAAGTGACATTAAGGCTATAATCGAAGTAAATCTATCCCAATCAGTACGAGAGATTGTTACGACATTGAATATATCCCACACAAGCGTAAAAAAGCATTTGCGCTAGCTGGAATACGTTTCTCGGCTTAATGTTTGGGTGCCGCATCAATTAACCGAGGCTAACTTGACCACACGCATATCCATCTACGATTCGCTACGGAAACGCCAAAAAAACGACCCATTTTTTAAATGAATGATGACGGGTGACGAAAAATAGGTCGTCTATGATAATACGTAACGCGTAAAAGATCATGGGGCAGAGCAGCGAGCCACCGCAAACAACCTCGAAGGCGGGATTGCATCCGAAGAAAATAATGCTCTCCGTATGGTGGGATTTCAAGGGTGTCATCTGTTACGAACTGTTACCGTCAGGCAAAACGATTGATTCAACTGTATACTGTTCGCAATTGACGAAATTGAACCAAGCAATCCGCACAAAACGTCCAGAATTGGCAAATCGCAAGGGTGTCGTCTTCCACCACAACACCAGACCTCATACGTCATTGACCACTCGGAACAAATTGCTTCAGCTTGGCTGGGATGTTTTGCCTCATCCTCCGTATTCACCGGATCTTGCCTCTTCCGATTTATTCCGGTCGCTGCAGAACTCTATGAACGAGGAAACCTTCAAGGATGAAGAGGCCGTTAAAAATCACCTGGATTGGTTTTTCGCCGATAAGCCTCAGACGTTTTACGAACGCGGCATAATGAAATTGGTGGAAAGATGGTTAGAGGTCATCGATAAAGATGGCCAATATATAATTGATTAAAATTTATCTTGTGTATTAAAAAATTATGTTTTATTCTACTCTAAAAAACCGAACGAACTTATTTGTCAACTCAATATATGTAGCCAAATTTGAGAGTAAATTCGAATAATTGAGTGTAAATACTCAATATCTGAGTCTATTTTCTCCATAAGGATATATTCAGGATAATCCTGGGATATTTTCAAAATATTCAGTTGTGTTATTGTAAATATTTTATATGAAAATTTCACGTGTATATTCACGTGTATATAATTTGAATTAATTAACAATAGTGTAATATTAAAAATAATTTTGGTATATTAAATACTGTTATAAAATATAAATCTTCTATAGATGTCCATCGTTAGTTTCAGATAGCATAACAATTTAAATAGCACAATTTACTGAAAAATGTTTCAAAGATAAACAATATAAATATAGCTTATTGAATTTGCTGATTCCGAGTAATGTTGAGATATATGCGTATGCTTCCTGTTTTTTCTATTTAAATATAAATATAAAGAAAAGCATTCTACTCGATCCTAAATCGGACTTGGCAAATTGAATATATTAATAATTCGATTTCCTTTAGAATCAAAGTTTTAGAATTCTAAAGGATTAAAATTTAAAAAGATTAAAAAGTGTTTTGTTTCTAGAAATGAAATTAGACTATTAATATATTAATTTATTATTAATTAACTATTAATATTCAATTTATCAATTCCGATTTAGAATCAACTCAAGTATATTTTTCCTTATATTTATAATTCAAACAAGAAATATATAACTCGATATAATTCTGAATCAGTATATTTAATACATTATGTTTTTTTCTTTTCTTTTAGATGCCTAAGAAATATCTATAATACATCCCACAGAGGTCTTTACGGTGGACAGGATATTCTCTGGATGTTTTAAAGATTAGTGTTTACTTATCATCTTCTCTTCTTCAGAACATTTAAAATATATCCTGAAATAAAATTTGGATATCCACATGATATCCGCAATGTCTGTCCTAGATGCTCTTAGGATTTCCGGAGAATGTCATTGTGCTATCTGGGAGTACATATAAAAAAGTGATATCAAAACTTTTTCGGAATAGTAATTCCGATCTTTCCGCCCAAGAACGTCCTGGTCAAAAAAAGAAAAAAAAAAAGAAGAAAAACGAAGACGAGGAATTGAGTCGTTACAAGGAAATCCTTCAAACACAATAGGAGAACTTGCCGAACAACTTGGTGTTGACCAACAAAAGATTTCTCATCGCTTGCACAAGTCAAAGGCTGCGAATTGATTTGTATACCTGATAATTGTTGTTGTTAGATGAAATATGGCGGCGTACCTGCATTGCGCGTACTACGTCTTCGTCGTTGAAGTTGAGATCAGGTTGCTCTGGCGCAAATTGATGGAGGTAATATGCTTGCCTCTCGTCGCGCCAGGTCCAGGCCGGTCCGCCGAACACGCTCACCTATGCGGATAATAATCTCATCATTCCGATTATCCGCTCATGCCTTTGGAGTTTAGTGCACGTGCAGACAGTTTTAATAGTTCGTCGGGGATTCGGCACGCAACATTACCGCCCTCCCTAAGAAATATCGCAGGGCGCTTTTGCAGCGCTTGCGGAATATCGGTGCTCGTTTTGCTGTCTGTTACGTGTTGTTCGCGTTCTATAGGGAGTAAAAGGCCTGCGCCTGCGCCGCGGCGTTGTTGTTCGTATAACACGCCACGGAATTTCGAAGCCGGCGAAATAGCACAAGCCATGTGCTAGGCTTGTTACAGCAGCCCGGTGATGAATCGTTGTTTAACTCGCGCCAGAATACAAGGGAGTACATTTTTCGGATATTACAGGCATAATCCGCCCGATAGATAAGAAAGAGCAGATCCGCGTGCTCGACTTAACGGAACGTATTCTTTCTTTTCGTGTTTCCTCGCGCGGGGCTTCTCGGCTGATCGATCGGCCGATGAGAATTTCATCGTTGTCGAAGATGCCCGCTCTCGATTCGGGAGTACGGTTTCTCTCGCTCCCTAATCCCACTCTCTCATCGTTAACCGTACGCTTATCGAGGGATGTCTCAGGCGATCCATCACATACACACGCGTGGTGTACGCACCGGGAGGTGCCTCCGCTAGAACGATGAATTATTTTGACGTTTATATAATCGTGTCGTGCATTGCCTCCTGGCAGATTCCTGGATGAATCTCTTTGCACGCGCAATTCGAATCGTAATGCACCGCCGGGACCGCCGCTGCGTCCTCAGAGATACAACGCAAATCGCGCTTCGTTTCCGGCGGCAGACACGCTCGCGTGTTCGTGCCCGCGATAGGATACCATCTGCTATGCGGTTTAAACACATCCCTTGAACGAACCAACGAACCAAGCAGTGTTGTTTCTCCGTCACGTTTGGAGCTGAGTCGCGAGATAGTAGACTCATAATAATTAAGAGCCATCTTAATCGCGCTCCACCGTTCGGAAGGCTGTGAAGGGGAATATTTGAAATCCGAGGAACAGGTTCGCCCAAAGGCTCGGATTAATTCGGCGACTTTAACGGTGAATTTCTATGGGTCGTGTTTCTACAGAGAAATGTGATTCTATTGAGAACGGATTACAATCGATTCTTACCCAATTATTCGGTACCGTGACCGTTCCGTCGGCCAGCACCTTGCCTTTGTGCCACACGTAATAATCGGTGTAAGGCTCGATGCCTTGTAAGCTCTTTTGGAACCACTCGTGCCTATCGGATGAGTGGTTGGGAACGAAATCCATGATGACTTTGAGCGAATGGTCGTGTGCGGTTTCCACGAGTGCCTCGAAGTCAGTCATAGTGCCGTATACGGGGTCGATGCCGGTGAAATTGGAAATATCGTAGCCAAAATCGATCATCGGGCTGGGATAGATCGGAGATAACCAAAAGGCGTTGACGTTCGAGTCAACTAGATGTTGCAGTTTGCTCCTTACACCTGCGAACAGGGGTGTCTCTGAGAGATACAATCGCTCTTTGGGAATCATACATTCCTACCCGAACTTCTAGGAATTAATTAGATCGCTGGTCTGTATCACCCGATCTCAGTCTCGGTCTTTACGTTTTCCAATTCCCTCGAGATTGAATATAAATTGAGTTGTTTCATGTCAGGTCTTAAAATATCATACGATCTTTTCGAGGGAAAATTAATTCGTCAAAAGAATTTATTTATCGTCAAAATTAAAGTTAAAAAATGTCGATATATGGCATTATGGTTGTAAGAATTAATTAGAATTAATTAATTAGAATTAATTAGAATTAATTAATTAGAATTAATTAGAATTAATTAATTAAATAATCTGTAAATTGACCAGTTTACCATCATTCGTCATTTCTAAGACATATTATCTCATTGGTCGGAATGATATATTTTTACGGTAATTGCGCCACGAAGCTGTTGAAACTCCGATAATTCCAGGGAATTTAATTCCCCGTCCAATAGTACGTACCACTGAGATCTCCTACACCATCTCCGTCGCTGTCTTTAAAGCTTCTGGGATAAATTTGATAAAGGGACATCGTCTGCCACCATTTTGCACCATGTCCAGCACCGGAAAATATTAATATCGTGAAGAGGGTTGTTATCCCTTTCATTATTGTCGAGTCACCTAAACATGTGTAAAACGACAGTTTCATACTATTTCTACAATATTTATACATAATAATGTGTATTACGTGTTAACGCAAAATGTTGTAAACACTGCACAACAATTTTAGAAACACCTTCCAAGAACCATAAACAAATCTCAGACCATAAAAGTTTCTCGAATGTGTTAGAATAAAAACGAAATAAGAAATAAGGTTATCGTAGAATTAATTTTTTAAATTGTATGGTTAATCTGTAAACTAATCTGACGCGTATATTCGATATAAAATTTAAAAATGTAGAACCGTATGTAGAACCGACGTGTCTTTTTGATCTTCACACTCGCCTTCTAATAATCACGAATGTAAAAATTAGATTTAAATTATCGTCGCAGAATATTAAACTAGTAACTTTCTTACGTTCCTTACAAATATCTTCAACCAACTTTCCAAGTCGTACTGAAATGATGAACATCTGTTACCGTAATTATAAATAATTTGCAGCGGCACATATGTTACTACAACATGACAGTGCGTAATTATTTGCAGTGTAAATAATTATGTAAGAATCTTGTTCGCGAAAGAAATACGGTTAATTTTACTCTTAAAGAGCCATTTCGCTCCGAAAGAAAAATATACCAGTAGTGCAAATAATTGTATAATTATCTCACAGTGGAAAGATAAAAGGTATTTTTAACATATCATTTCACGCTGCTCTGTAGAAATTACATTTTCTTATCATTATTCTACTAAACGTTGAAATGATATTGCAGGATTAAAACACATTTATACGATATTATAAAGTTATTATCTGATATCTATGATTATCTTTTTAATTTTCTAGCTTTCAAGAAGTGAATTAAATAGTACAAAATATTTGTAATTGCGAAATAGTAACGCGAAAAATGAAATTATACAATATTCTGGCAATGGAAGAAAAATTTGCTTCAACATTTTCAATCTTTTGTTATGATGTCACGATAAAACTCACAAAATATTTCGGGGTAGCCTGTAAGTTTTGAATTCTTCTTATACATAAATTTACACACTCTTCTTATACATAAATTTGCACACTTATACTCGCAATATGTGTTGATGTTAATGCTTATTTCTGGACTAATGGAGACTCCTCGAACACTTGCTGTAAGATCTACTGTTATAGAGTAAACTCATCCTTCCTCTTTTATAGCCACATTATATAATTTTGCTCGGTTAGAATTTCTAAACTTCGTGTCTCTCATGTGTAGTGCGCGGAGCGTACTATTACACATGTGTTGTGTCAATAAGACGTATATCGTGAATGCAATTCAGCATTTCATCATCTATCTTATCCGTGATAAACATGAAAACTACGAGATCTAGGATAATGTTTTTTAATACGACGGAACGTTTTTGAATGCCTGTACGAGGGTAGATTGAAAAGTTTCCGATCTAACCAAGAAAAAGTCAGATTTCACTCAAATTTCAATACTTCCAATAGGTATTGTCCAATAGATGGCAGTGAAAGAAGCACAAAGAGCTAAGTTTGTCATTCTTCAGCGATTCATTTGTTTCTGACAGCCTTTCAAAGTTGCATTTGTCAGCAATGGAGAAATTAGAGTATCGCACTGTGATAAAGTTCTTTAATTTAAAAGAGAAAACTGCCACGGGAATTAAAGCTGAATTAAATTCAGCTATGGAGATACTGTTTCATCATTTATGACCATGAAAACTGGACTACTGAATTCAAGCGTGACAGAATGAGTATTTTCGACGAGGAACGCTCTGAACGACCAAAAACCGTAACAACAGCTGAAGTGATCGATTGTGTTCATCAAATCGTGATGGACGATCGTCGATTAATTTTAAAAGAGAAAGAGCGGAGACTGCTGGTATCTCATACGAACGGGCGCATATTTTACATGAGGTTTAATTAGATATAGGAAAACTGAACGCGCGTTGGATGCCACTCGTGCCGTTGGTTTGCTCATCGTTGATCAAAAACGACAAAATTGGACATTTTACGATCGTGTCTTGAGCGTTTCAAGCGCGATGAAAAGGATTTTTACGGCGACGAAATTTGAGTCCACCACTACATTCCAGAGACAAAAGAACAGTCAAAGCAATGGACTGCAAAGGACCGAACCGACCGAAGAAAGCAAAACAGTTTCGTCGGCTGGCAAGATGATGGCCACAGTTTTCTGGGATGATTTTTCCATGGAATGATTTTTGTAGACTATTTGAAAAAAGGGAAAACAATCACCGGAGAATATTATGCTGGGTTATTACAACGTTTGTACATGCAAATCAACAATAAACATATATTCGGCCAAAAGAAAATCCTCTTTCACCAGGATAATATACCAGCCCACAAATCAACAGTTGCGATGGCGAAATTGTATAAACTGAAGTACGAATTAATTCCACATTCACCGTACTCTCTAGATTTGGTCCCGTATGATTTTTTCTTATTTCCAATTTTAAAAATGGTTACCTGGAAAAAAATTTTCATCGAATGTTGAAGTGATATGTTAATGACTATTTTTCGGGTTTAAACCAAGTTATTATTGAAGGAATGACAGTTCTAATAAAATGTTGAACCAAATGTATTGAGTTGAAGGGAAACTTGTTAAGAAATAAACTTCATTTAGCTCAAAAATATATTTTCTTTTTAGTCAAGTCAGAAACTTTTCAATCTACCCTCGTATATGTAGTACCGTCGTACATGTAATACACTCGTATATGTAATGTGTACAAATGTAAATACATACATATAGAATTCTCAGTTTCAAACAGTGTCTCATATTAACTTTTTTTTCACATTAGTTCTCACGATTTTTCACGATTTTCTCACTCAATTCAGAATCAACTTTCCTCTGATGGCTTTCTTTCGAATACATTAAGGAATATTATTGAAATTTAGCGAGTTCAGAGATGAGACCAGTTAATAGAAGTGCGATTGTTGTTTAACATGCATTTTTATTACGATGAAAATACTCTAATTTACAACTGTCATCTTAATAAAGAATTTTCTAAAATATATCGATTGACAAGCATTGGCCCGCAAATACAATTTCACTTTCCGGCGAGATTAGACTTACAATCTGTTAAAGAACATGTCCGGCGAAACTTTTAATGGAAACCGTTGAACGGGAAATTCCAATGGGAGTTGGTAGAGGAACTTTTTCTCTAAAATGCTTTATAGAAGAAATTTCAGTTGTCGTTTCATGGTAGAAAGACATATTTCGTCATGAGTGTCGCATACGTATCGCGATTAAAAATGCTTTTTCTGTATACTTCCGAAAAGACCAAGAATGGTAACGCCAGCGGCTGCTAAATACATGAAAAATGTAAATAAGTGAATCGCTATTTAAAAGTAAAAAACGTCGAAAAACAAATTGCATGCTGCTTTTCAAAGTAAAAATTTGATATTTTATACATTTTTACAGGCAACTTTAACGCTGTCAAAATGGTCAAAACTTGTGAGATGATTTTATCATCATCTCTTCAAAAATGGTTTGAACGAAAAAATGAAAAATGGCTCCTATAAGAAGACCCAAAATATCGAAGTCATTTTTCTACTCTATGAAAACAAAAAATGATATTGACCTACTGGATTGACAATGTCACACAGACATCGAGTATAAATCCCAGGTATAAATTCCATAAAAAATGTTTGGGCATTGATGAATGTTAAGTTTCGTAGGAAGAAAATTTGGAAAGTCAAGAAGTTATTTTGATAAATTTAATTGATCTGGAGATTTTTATTTCAAGAATATGCCGTAAAATTAATAGAAGTACGCCTCAGAAATGCCAGGCAATTATTAATAATAAAGGCGATTAACAAATTATATAATAAAACTAATAATAAAACATCATAGTTGCAATTAAATAGTATGTGTGTGTTTTTTTCAAGTCATTATAATAAATTGTTTTTGAGTTATGTTGGAGACACACTCTTATCACACAGCCTGTATTGGCGACGATAAAGTATTAATATCGGCTCGCTGTTTGTTTCGATATCTTCGAATCTGGTATCGATTCGAATACACAACGTAACATATGACGTAAAGTAAATTTGCTTTAGATTGAAAGAGATTTAGTTTATAGATGCGTTTGCGCGCACGCGCGCGCGCGCGTGTGTGTGTATGTGTGTGTGTGTGTGTGTGTATGTCGAAATTCTTTAGTTTATTTATTTTGTAGAAACTTAACCACGTTTATCGAAATAAAATCGACATAGCTAGATATCTGGTTTCGATGGAATAACTTGTTTTTTAGATACATTTTATTGTAAATCACAAGATTTTGCGCGAATAACGAGTTTATTTATTTACTAAAATATCTCGAGATATAGAAAGACGATATTGATATCGGGAATGCCATGCAATGCGGGATTATGTCAAACCTCTAAAGATGGTATTTGATAAGTTTCGTCATCAAGTGCTCATAAAGTGAATTATTTCCATTTGCCACGTTGGGACGTGATACTTGCGTCGGTGTTGACACACTTCGTGTACGTAAAAACAGGATGAAACCAATTTTAGCGATGCATCAATTTCGTTTCGCAAAATTTAATCACTAATCAAATATTCGAGGAGAGATTACGCGTTACGCGATGAGCAATTATCGTATTATGAAGAAAATTATATTATACGTGATGAGAAATTTGAGATAAATTTAGGTTTGGGTAATTGATATGTATGTTTCAATATCAAATTAATGTTTAACTTTAAAATATCACGTTTAAATATGTTTAATTGTTAGATTGAACGAACTTACCAGTGAAGTTCGATCCTAATTATGCCCTTTTGTCTCATCCGGATAGAGAACTATGTAGTCGTGTCCCTGCACGTGCCTTGGCAACAGAATTAAAAAACCTGCCACTCAGAAGAAAATTCTTATAGTCTCCTTCAAAGTAGTCCCCATTGCTTGCAACATACTATGTTGCCAGCATTTGATCCGGTCCTGGAAACATCGTTCATACGTGGCAGACGGTATGGCCTTCAATTCACGCAGCGATTTTTCTTTGATGTTCTCAATCGAT